ATCACGGGATTAAATTCTTCAGGAATGATAACTTCATATCCCGTAAAAGTGAAATTTCCGAAAATGAATAATGATTTTTCATTTTGTGGAATACATTTTTATTCTTCCCGTAATATCTTTAATTCGCTCTTTTTATAATTCTCTAACAAGTCTTTTCGTGCTGACTCGTTTCTACAATTTTTGATTTCTCTCTCAATTTCACTTTTTATCCATGCAGAAGTTCTTTTCATACCTTCCTGAATCGAAATTTTGGGCGACCATCCCAATATCTTTCTAACCAAAGTATTATCAGAATTTCGATTTTGTACACCGACAGGCTTTGTTTCATCCGTAATTAGCTTGACTTGGTCGCGTTTAATCCCAACGGTTTCAAAAGCAATATAACCCAATTCCTTTATAGTAATGGCATCCTCAGATCCGATATTTAATGGTCTAGAATATTCGCTTTCCATTAACTTAATGGTAGCATCAACGCAATCTTCGATATACAAAAAACTGCGACGCTGATTTCCGGAACCCCAGATTTCCATCTCATAGTTTCCATCAATAGCTGCACAAACAGCTTTACGAATTAATGCAGCAGGAGCCTTTTCTTTTCCTCCAACCCAGACGCCCCCCTCGCCAAATACGTTATGAAAACGACCGATCCTTATTTTTGTTGAGTTTTCCTCGTTACTTTTTGCGAATTCGGATAGCAAAATCTCACTATTTAGTTTTTCACAACCATAAAGGCCTTGCGGATCAGGACCCGACTCATAATCTTGGTAGCACCAAGCACTAGCTTCGTTTAGTTTTAAATCCTGATCATATGGATTAAGTTGCTTTTTATTCGGATAAATACATGCGGAAGACGCGAAAAAAAGTCGTTCTACCCCTTCCTCAATGGCAGCTTGTATGATATTTATCGATACCGTATGATTATTACGGTATATGAAAAAATTGTTTTCCTCATGAATCGTTCCCATTCCACCCATATATGCAGCGAAATGAAAAACCCATTGAAACCCTTTTACGGCTTGACGGCATACTGATGGGTTTAGCAAATTACCCTGAATGAATTCCGAACAATAATTTTCAGGGTTTCCGAACAGACTCGTTGTTCCAGATGTTGCTAAAGTATCGATAACTCGGACATAGTCTCCACGATCATGTAAACGTTTTGCCACATGACTACCCTGGTGATCATTAAAATAGTATCAAGAATATCAGAGAACATTCAAAAAGATTATAATACGAAAATGTACGTACAATAAACCCAATTCCACCAGTAACAAGAATCCTTCGACCCTTTTTGTCGATTGAAGGTTTTCCGTTGTTTAAAGTGAAGCTCATAATCACTGAACTACGTTAATGTGAAATTTTATTATTTCATAAACTTCGTTCAATAGTATGACTAAGTTATGAGATAAGCTAAAGCAGCCAAGAATTTAACAAATATATAGATAAATTAAAAATCAGGTGATCATAAAATGTGGCAATGCTGTCCTCATAGTATTTTACTATGGAGATAAAAAAAAATCAGGTGATCAATATAAAAAAAATATTATTACAGTACAAGAATTTAGCGCATTTGCCATTTGACAATTTACCATAATTTGCCATGATGACGAAATTGCCATGAGATAAAGGTTTAGGCATCTCGCTAATATATTTAAAGTAAGCTTTTCATTCATTAACGTTAAATGATCTGGCTATGAATTTAAGTTTATACAGTTAATCTAAATAAACGCCCGGTCATGCGAACGTATGTAAATACCTCAAATAAGGACCTGTTCAATAAAAGTTCAAGTTTTGAACCAGTTCGAAACTAGGTAAGATCAAATTATAGATCTTTCTTGCCAATCATATTTTAGGATTTTTTTTTAAAAAAAGATCGATATCGGGATCTTTCGGAACTTCTCTACAAGTTTTGAATATTGTGTACAGCTAACTCGACAGCTAACATGTGAGATGTCAAATTTTGATCAATATAATTAGTTATGACTTGTCAAATGGATTACTAATAGCACATATTGCAGCATTGTAACCTGCCTTTTTTTTTCTGCAACAAAAATTTTTTAACCGTTTTAAATTATCGTTACGCCAGATCTTCCCCGGAATTGCGGGTTTAATTTTCGGGTTTAATTTTCCCGTTCTTATTGGACAAATAGAAATCCCGTTTTTGATTGGACTCGCCAACTTTCTTGAATCCACCAGGGCGACCAAGAATTTTTCGGGTCACGTGAAAACAACAAAACATCTTAAAATTCGTTAAAGTTAGGG